TTTGTGCCATGGTAGATAATTCAGATCCAAAGTGATTTTTATTTTTCAAATCAATCTTGTCTATTGGCTGGATTCAATAAATAGTGTTACCATCTGGAAATTCAAGATGCTAGCCCTCTTTGCAGTGATATGAACATTTCTGGTCATATATTCCTTCTGTGCTTGTGTTCCATTTGTATCCTTATCTCCATGAATTGGTATTATGTGCTTCTTGCAAGCCTTTGGAATATAGATAAATGATTTGTTATCATCATTATTTGAGTTTTTAAAATACCATGGGCACTGTATTCAATCCTTTCCAAATAAAAACTCTTTTAATCCCCACAACAATTCTGTAAAGTAGGCACTGTTATTATCCTCATTGAAACTAAGAGGAATTGAGACTTAACAAGGTTAAACAAATGGCCTAAATTGACTAAATTATGTCCATTAGTATGCAGTGCACCAGTGAAAAGAGATATCTTTATGTACTGACATAGAAAGATATATAGGCTACTGTAACAGCAAAAAACAAGTTGAATAATAATAATAATTGATAGTAATAATAATAGATAATATGATACTAACAACAATAATAATATATGAGATAATTATGTAACCATCAGAAAAAATATTTTACATTGCAATATTCATTTAAAAATAGTGGGAGAACATATCAAGGCTTCAACAATGGTTATCCTGGGATGACAGATATTTTAGGTAGTGAACTTTTTACTTTTCATGTTAAATATTTCCATAATTTTTTTCACTTTAATGGGAACTTTTTTTTTAAGTGGGTGTTACTTTTGTAGTCAGAAAAAAAGTTGGTTTAAATAAGTTGCCCACACAGATAGTAAGTGGCATAGTGAGACAGGTTTGACTGTCTCTAAAACCTGAACTCTTAGAATCATAATGCTGAATTAATAAACACCATTAAACTACAGCATTGACACCCCATTTTTCCAAGTTGAATCTACTTCCTCCTGGAAAGCACAAGAAGTCATAGATTAATTCCTCTCCACTCTGATCACTTTAGGACAAGCAGGCTTAGAGACAGGCAGTGCTGAAGTCAGTCAGAAATGGGGGCAGGTGTCTGAGCTCAGGGGACGGTAGTAATCAGGGTTCCAGATCCCCACAGAAGCTGTGATCTTCTCATTCGTCTCTCTGCTCCCAGTATGGGGAATGATCCAAGAAAAAAAAATTAGTGAAAACAAGTCAGGGTCCTTTAGGGTCATTTAACATAACAAATCAGCCTCAAGGAAGAGCTTCCCCCAACTAAAGATAAAACATTAATGCTACTGAATATTCATAGGTCCAACATTCTATCTCATTATTTCTCCCCCAGGTCATTTGGGTAAAAATAAATAAAATAAATAAAACTAGTTCCCCTTTACCCAGAGGGACCCACTCCTCTGCAGATGCCTGCAGTATCTACAGGGAGATGGCTCTTCCAGCACTTTCTTTACTGAAGCCTAAGTCTCCAGGCTGGCTGAGCTTTCTCATGCCTCACTACCCAAAGCATGACCATGGGCCAGCAGCATCCACATCACCCAGGGCAGGGGTCAGAGACAAATCCTGCCATTTTTGTCATTAACTACCCATTTTGTCAATAAAGTTTTATTGGAACAGAGCCATACCTATTGGTGTAGTATTGACTAGGGCTGCTTTTACAGTAGCTACCAGAGCTGAGCTGCATAGTTATGACAGAGATCACGTGCCAGCAAAGCTGAAAATATTTGTTATTTGGCCCTTGATAGAAAAAGCTTTCTGAGCTCTGGCTTTGGAGCTCACCAGAAATGCAGAACCTCCGGCTCCACTCCCGCTCCCCAAGCCTGGCTAAGCACATATAAGTTTGAGAAGCAAGAGCCCTGCCCTGGAGGTCGCTGGGCCATTGCTCTGAGTCCATGTCATCCTTAGGAGGTGCTGAGCATGAAGAAGATGTTTTGAGAGTTTAGGGGCCTGATGGCACCAGGGAGCCAGAAGGGAGAGACACACATTCATTAGTTAAATCAGGAAGAGGGGACTGAGCAAAGGCTGTGGAGTTGAGATGACCTTTAATATTAAGACCTGCAAAAACTAAAAGGACTTAAGATAATGAGAAATCTCCTTTAGCTGACCTCACAGCCCCTGCCTTTTCAATCTGAATACAATTTTTCTCAGGGAAGAAAATCTGCCTTAGAAGGAGGTTTTGCTTTTGGAGGCCATTAGGAGTAACCGGGGCAGGACAAGGAAAGTAAACCCTGAGAGGGTTCAAACAGGCTTCCAGCCACATCCCTGGAGGTGAGGAATTAGAGGTGGAGTCATGGCCTTCAGTGACTCAGTGTGTGAAGGGGAAGGAAGGTGCTCAGGGTCAGCCCAGTGCCTTCGCCATCTGCCTGGGTCCCCTCTGCACACCGGCACCTGGGCAAAGGAGAGCTCCTGCAAGGCTGAGGTGGAGACAAGGGCTCACCCGGGAAGGACGGGAAGGAAGCCCTACTGGGAGTATTTCTGAGAGTTACATGGTTAACCTTCTTTAAGAGGGTCTCCTTTGGCACCCATGCAGCCAGGGAATCACTCAGAGTTGGGCATTCCCTGTCCTGCCAGAACAGCTCCTAGGGAACTCTGAAGAGCAAAAGAGCCCTTTTCAAAGGCAGGTTTCTCCCCAGAAAACAATTGAATCCAGATTAGGAGAAATAACAGGAGCTCTGTTATCCCTTCCCTTAAGAGGGAGATTCCTCAGATGCTCAGACCCTGACTCTGGCCTAGACTCCCACCTCCTGGACAGAGCTCCAGCTACTAGAACCTCGCTGCTCCCTGTGCCACCCTCTCATTGCCTCCACACTCTTCAGACTACCAGTTCAGCCGGCTTTGCCTTCAGGCAGATGTGCCTCGCTGCTGCCTGGGGATGAGGTGGCTCTTTCTCACCATGGCATTGTCTCCCGACCTAGCAATCCACTCACATGAGGTCTGGGCAATCCCAGTAAGACTCAGCAGGCCTTAGAGACCCTTCTACCTGACCCCACTTCTACAGCATTCCATCACCTCCCAGAGAGTAGAGGGGCCTGGCTGGGGGCAAATTTTAGGTTGTTGTCATCAAAAGCAGGACCTCTATCTCCATTCCCAGTTCCAAACCAGATCTTCAAGCCCAGAACACCATGGTCTGCGACCTCTCTCCCGTGGAATTTCCCAGAGCTGGGCCTTCCTGGAGGAGTCGAAGAAACAACAAGCCTCCCTTCCAGGAAACTAGCTGCCCTTGGGAGGTTTTGGAGAGACACATACAGAACTCTGGGAGTGGGGTTAATGAAAATGACTGAATTGTCCTATTCTTTCAGGTATTTGGGGAATGGATATCCCTTAGCCAGTGGGGCCCCATGATTTCAGGTTGCTGGCACCTGCTGATCATTTTGTGGATTGGGAGCAAGGCATTTCTTTAATTTACCCATTTCTACTCTTCTCTGGCCTCTGATCAATTATCATTGGTCAGCTTTTATGTGCGTTCAGCTGTGTGCACCCTGCTAATTACTTGGAACAAAATGCTCTTGTGTAAGCATTTTGGCTGCTGCTGTACCATTTCTTTGGCCTCCTGATTCCTTTTGAGTAATTCTGGAGTCCCATATACTTGCACTGACTATTCTCTCAGGCTCTCCTTTCCCCTCTACACCCTCTACCACTTCCTGTTAAGACTCTGGGGTGTTGTCTGGGGCCTGGCTGTGTGGAAGCTAAAGATTTGGTGGAGCCTGACAGGATGCTGAGATCCCAGTGGGAAGAAGAGGTGAAAGCCAGTCACGGTGAGGACTGAAGGGAAGGCAGAGGCAAGGAGAGAATACAGCCAGACTTTCTTCTCTTAGTTCCAGGCATCATTGCCCCTGATTAGTTAATGAAAAAAAAAAAGGAATTAAAGAACTAGTTTTGCACTTACCCTTTGATTCTGGGTGTTAATTACCTTCTCCAGGAATGTTATCCAAAATATGGGAAGAATTATAAGCATTAAATGAGGAGGCCTATACAACACACCTTAATATCTGGCCCATAGTGAATCCCGAGGGAAGGGAGCCTTTTGTCTTAGGGAGGCCATCTCTACTTTTTCTCCAGTGCTTTCCAGTATCCTGTCTCCCTCCAAGAATAGGAGAGTTGAATATATTTATCCCAGGACCCTCACCCTCTCTTCCTCCCTTGGGGCAGCATGGAAGTGGGCAGCCAAGAAGGTTGGGGAGCAGCAAGTGGTTGGCAGGTGAAGTGAATGATACTGAGAGGGGTCCCTTACTGAGGGCTATTCCTAATCCTCCCGGCAGCCCCAGTAGTTAAGAAGCTGAGGAGGCTGAAGTTCCACCAAGGAACGGGCCCCAAATCACACAGTTGAGCCGTGACTTGAATCTGCCTGACTCTGAAGCCCACCCTTTTTTATTACATCTTGATTTATCCTAAAATGGAGAAACAAGTTAGAGAGGGCTTAGGGGAGATGGAGGTAAGCACGGAGGGAACAGGAATGTGGCCACGATGTAAGAGGACAGGCTGTGTAGGCCTGGGCTCACCTTCTGAAAGGTGAGGACAGGGGACTGGAGCATCACCCCCTGGGGCCATTGTCCTCAGCCCCCTAAAACCAATTGCTTGGCACTGCCATCCTCCTCTGCTTTTGTTGGGTATGACTTGGGCTGGTAAGATGGAGGTTGGTCAAGCCAGTGAGTGTTTACCCTTTCTAACAGTGGTGGAAGTGGATGAGGGAGAGAGAACTGTGGTCCTGAGTGGGTCCCATCCTGACAAGGCTGTGGCAGGGCATTCCTGTTCTGATTTACACCTCAGAGCTCCAGGCAGCCTCACAGGAAGGGAGAGTTTGGCTCCAATGGACTTGTCTGTGACTTTAGCCTGGTTTTTAAAACTGACTATTCTTGCCCTGCAGGGTGGTGGCTTCCTATGTGATCCTGTGACCCATCCACAGCCCCGGCCTGTCAGAACTTTAGCCTGAGCCCAGCTTCTCTTAATGTCCCTGGTTTTCCATGTGCCTCTGAGTGTGGCTAGACCAGTTCTGATCCTGGAAAACCCAGGGACCAATGACCGGGACACCATCCTGCCCATCGCTACCCCACCACTCATTTCCAGCAGCGAGGCTCCCAAAGGGAAAACAACGCAAGAAAAGGAGCAGCAGCAGGATACGGACGGTAGAGGTCATGCTCATGAGCAGCCTTTCCAGCCCCAGGGCAGCTTATGAGTCACAGCTGAGGTAACTGCGCGTCTGCTATCTGGGATATATCAGCCTTGGGAGGAAAACAGAGGAAAAGGGGGCCAAACTTGCTGGGAGTCATAACTCCCCATTTAAAAGCCCTCAAACACATTTATATAAAGATCAATAAATATCCACAGAAGAACTATTTTGAGGTTTCACCTCCATTTCTTTTCAAAGAGAGCTGTTTGGGGCCCAGAAGTAGAAGCTGCAGGAAAGGCCAAAGTGATGGCATCAAGGGTCTCCCTCTGGGTGGTGACACTGCAGCTGAATAAAATATTTGGGCAGAACTGCTTGGGGTGAGAAGGACACTGAAGCAAAATGAAGCAAAATGTAGACACACCTCCCTTCAGTCTACGCAAGTCAGTCCAAGATTCTAGGAAGATGAAGAAACAATATTTATGAGTCAGGCTGGGGAAGAGGAGAAGAGAGGTAGGAGGTGTCTAGAGAATGACCAGAGGAAGAATTGGAAGAACTTTGTCAAGTTGAGTCTCATTAAGGATTCACGCTCTGAAGTTAGAGATGTGGATTCAAATCCTGGCTGTGACACCAATGAGGTGTGTGAAGTAGCTTCCCTTTCTGCATCTGCAAAATGGGTTATGTGCCTTACAGGGTTAGGGTGAGATAATACACCTCAGATAACACATGCCAGCCATGAGTATTTGTTGTTATTACTAAAACCTGCCCTAGACCTAATGCCATGTGAGGTATGTACACAGAGAGCATTTACTGGGGAGGCCCTGAGATGAGAGGCATCAGTAGGTTTGCTGGGAAGACAGGAGGAGCTGGTCTTGAGTCCTTAGCCCCTGGGAAGGCAGTGCTCAGACCTCTCATACTGAGAAAAGTCGGAGGAGTCTGAGACTTTCTCTGCTCTTTCCCTTCCCCATCAAAACTTGCTTTGATGATGGTCATTTATGTGTAAATCAAACTTTAAGCTAATGTGTTTTGTCCCCAGAGCCACCACTTGTCTGTGAATTCCTTGGTGTTTCATTTTTTGTGTGTGTCGAAATAAAGAGTTGGTCAATTCTAAAAGAAAAATAATGTACAGAAATAGTAAGTAGGGAATAATAAGTGAGGAAAAGTATTTGAAGGCGGGGAGCATTACCTCAGTGAATCATACCCTATAGGCAGTAGGGTGTGCATGACCTGAGACATGGGAAGGTGGACCCAGATGCCGCAAATCAGGGGAGGCACCTCTGTGGCCTCATCAACAGCTGCAAAGAGGGGGATAGTGAAGTGGTCCTAGCAGAGGATTGGAGCTCGGGCAGTCTCCTTTCCCATTCCTATTCTTAACCTAGCATATCCCCCCTCTTTCAGTGTGCTTCTTACCCAATTTTCTAACCAGTGGCTTTGCAGTTACCTCATAAATATTTCTCAAATCTCCTTAGGCAGCAAAACATTCTCTCTGCCCATTGAATTAGCTGTAGACTGACATTTCTCAGTGTCTCTGGCGCCCTCCACCCTCCTCCTCCCTCCCAGCTCAGAGAACAGGCATTGGCCTGCAGCAAACACAGATCTGTCCTCTACAGACTCAGGCCTACAGGGCAGCCCTACATGAGGCAGAAAGAAGGGAGGCTGCAAGATTCCTTGCAGGGTTTCCTACCTAATTAATGAATGCTGTGGGCAGGCTAAAGGAAGAAGCACAGAACTGAAAGAAAAATAACAACAGGACAAAATATCGCCACCTTGTATCTACATAGCACTATGTGTTTTCCACATTTCTGATCTATTTTGCTTTTCAGTCTGTATTAGTTTCCTAGAGCTCTCATAAAAAAGACCATAAACAGTGGCTTAATACAACAGAAATCTATTCTCTCACAGTTCTGGAGGCCAGAAATCTGAAATCAAGGTGTCAGCAAGGCCATGCTCCCTCTGAAGGCTCTAGGGAAGAATCCTTCCTTGTTTCCTCCTAGTTTCTGAAGGCTTCCTGCAATCCTTGGTGTTCCTTGGCTTGTAGCTGCCTCACTCCAGTCTCTGGCTCCGTCTTTACATGGCCTTCTTCCCTGGGTGTAGGTCTCTGTTCTTTTCTCTTATAAAATCATTTGTCATTGGCTTTAGGGCCCATCCTAATATAGTATGACCTCATCTTAACTAATTACATTGGCAAAGACCCTATTTCTAAATAAGGTCCCATTCTAGGTTCTAGGTAGACATGTATTTTTTAGACACTACAGTATTTACTCCCAGAGATCTTGCCTTCTGACTATCCTCCTCAGGAAGGTATTCAGCTGTGATCATGAATACACCAACCATTCACCTCCTTTCTCCCAACTTTGCCTCCAACTGCTCAGTGCTGAAAACTTCCTCCCCATTCTTGCAGATCCTACTCAAATATACTTACTAAATATTGTGTCTTTTAACATAGGTTCTCCCAAAAGCAGACTGAAACAAAGTGTGGGGACAAGCACTGCTCACTTGTAATCTTTTTTTCCCAGAATAACCAGGTGCCCACACAGCCTCTCCTTCAGGTGGTACACTAAGTATATGGTATGTTGATGGCCTAGGGCTAGCCAAATCCAGGCCCACCTTATCTATGGAAGCATCTTTTTGGGAAGGAGACCCCTCTGATCAAGGTTGTTCCTTGGGCCATTGGCTGCACAAGAATAATCCCGTCTAGCAAAGCACACACAGTCCTTGTGTCCTCACCCCATACAAGCAGTTTCCTTCCTGTCCATGACAGTGGTGTGCACCTTGGCCCGCTGGCTGTTCCTGGACTCCCTGTATTTAAGTCCCAATAAACCCTCATGTCTTATGTGTCTCCGGGTCTTTCCTTCAGTCTTTCCAGGGCTTTTCCATTGCAACTCACCCATTTGGGCATGTCATTGGACTTGTGATCACACAGAAAGATTTAACTGCATGTAGTTTATTTGGGAGGTGATCTTAGGAAGTATCTGTATGGGCGTGGGAAACAGGGGAGGACAGTGAGTCTACATAGCATTTGCTATTGATCAGGAAACTGGGGCTCACTACCACTGGAACCTCTGAGAAATGAGAGCAACTTCAGAGTTGTCTCGCCTGAGGTACCTATTCCCTAATTCCCATCTGTCAACAGTGGAAGACTGCTCCCAGAAGCACTGCACTTAAAGGCTGCACTGGGCACAGGCTGAGCATACTCCTGTGACTGACGCAAGCCCTAAGCCAGGGAGTCACAGATGCTTCCAGGAGGGAACCCGTGGCTTGTTCAGGAAATGGGAATATCAGGGGGATGTGGACACAGGCATGGACAAAATCTGGTATAACTAAGAAGACAAATTCCTTCCTAGGGCTTTCCAGGTTCCTTACATAGCAGGGACTCAATAAATATTTGTTGGATTGAATTAGTACAGGTCACTTGAATAAAGGACTGAAGAACAAAGAGTATTCAGTCACTAAGCAAAAATATATTAAGCATTTACCCCATTCCATGCACTGTGCTAAACACTGAAGATACTAGCCCCATGTAACTTTGAATATGGTACAGAATTATTACCCATAATAACAAACCAATCAACCCTGGCTTTCATTCATTACAATCAACCAACAACTCTGAGGTCTTCCAGGAGACCTGCCCTCAGCTAAATCAGCAAATAAAAGCTCTGTGTGTCTCTGATGGTGAAAAATCTTTGCAGTACATGGGGATGAGACTGTCTTTCTATGCTTTCTCATGCAACTCTTATTCTTCCCAGTTCTCAGATTCACAGAGCAGGAAAGTGCTTTACTGGGTCATCCAGATCATCTGTGATAAGCAAGTCCTAGATGCCTGCTGGCTTCTGTCTTGGATTTTCACTGTTTCAGGAAGTTAATTTGGTGAATCTGAAACTTACTACTGAGCAGACACAAAAGAAAATGTTGGTACACTTGACACTGAGACCTTACCCATCCATCTTCCCTATACCCTGAACCATTCCGGACCAATAGGGCTTAATGCTCTTTTTAATGAGTTCTCCCCCTTGCCTTACCCCTACCCTAGAACAAACTATTCTCTCAAGATCTCAGTCATGCAGTTTCTTTCTACTGTCATTTTCAAGGGAGCCAAGCCTACAGTTCAGACAATTCCAGAAACATCTCCTCTCCCAACAGCAGGGCAGTATAGAGAGCAACATTCCCCAAGGGCAGACTTGTCAGAGACCAGAGAGAACTCGGGGAACGGATCCTGCCTCAAGTCAAACCCTGCTTCTGTCCCTGGATACTGAGGCGCTCCCTGTCTCCCTGCCTCCCTCAGTCCCTTGATGTACACTTTTAATATTCATCTCTTCCCTTTCTTGATGTGAATTAAAAGAGCAACTTGCAAGGCAAACAAGAGGAAAATAACAGTTTGCTGCTGCTCATTAAAGCTCCAGCTCAATAGAGCCCGATCAGAGCTTGGAGCCTGGTGCCACCTCCCAGCTGAAGGTGGGGGAGGAAAGGGCACGATAATGACAGGACCTTGGCTCTGCTCTGAGTGAGGTCAAGGGATTTTACAGAGGGAAATGCATTTTTCTACCTGAAGATTTACTCTCTGGTGAAATCCCAGTGTCTAGGCTTGTCTCTCTCAGTTTCCTGACATAAATCTTAGAGAACTCACTTCACCATTCTGGGTCTTATGTTGTTTCTCCACCTGGAAATGAAAAAAAGCTAATAGCCTCCTGAGTGGACTCTAAGGCTAACCAAGTGAATAAATACGAAAACATTTTGGAAGAATTATCATCCAATTTTCTCTCTTTCTCTTACTCTCTTCTTTACTTTCCATCAGTATCTAAACCTGCTAAAACAACTTCCATCTTAAATAAATAAAATTCTCCTCTAACCATAGGTCCACTTTAGCTACCACCTATTTCTTTTCTCCCCTTTGAAGTCAAATAGCATAAAATATCTGTGTTTGTTGTCTTCAGTTCCTCATCTCCCACTCCTCAGTGTACTACAAACTGGCTTCCACCCATCACTCCCCCAAACTGTTCCCACCACAATCACCATAGTCCCTTTTGCTAAATCTGGTTAATGTTTTAATTGGATTAATTCTTTAGTATATT